ATTTCTATAAACAAACCCAAAAAAAATCCAAAAAATGACAACTGGATCTATTGAATTTAATTTTGATTATTAAATTACTTTGATGTGCTATTGAGTGTTTTGGGCTTTTTTATGAGGTTTTTGGGTTGAGTTTATTCTAAGAAATCAATGACAGTTTTATAATTTAAAAGAAGTTAAAAGCTTTTTTGTTATGTTGTAAATGAGTTTTGGATATGTTTCTAAAGTCTATTTCATATAGGGTTTTTTTTTTTTTAATAATTTGGGCTCCTATATTGGGTATAATAGTGAATCTCCCTTTTATGTTAATAATTTGTATACACGTTATAATATATGCGAGAATTTTAATTTATTTCTGTTATTAAAAAAAATAAAATAAAATGGACCCCACACTGTTTTGGTACCTTTATACCATACGGTCCATGCCCCCAACATTTTCCAAATTATCTTCCCCCAAACCCATGAGAAGTTCTCTTATAAATACCCCCCAACTCTTTGCATCCACTATACTCTAAAACTCCTCAACATCACCACCACCACAATAAAAAGCTCTGCTTTTTCGCAACTTACAGAGCTCCTTCCTTCAATCCGTCCTCTTCTTCCTCCTCCTCCTCCTCCTCCTCATCATCATCTCCATTGTCAACTAGTTCTTGCATGGCAGTGAGCTTCTTGAGGTATGAGGTATCTGACCTCTGTCTAGCCAAGCCGGCCCTGAGGTCCCTCTCTGCCTCCGCCACAGTTGCTGATGCCTTAGAGACCTTGAAGACATGTGAGGAAAACTTCATCAGTGTCTGGGAATGCAACCACTCCAAAACTACCAGATCTCTAGACGCTGGCCAGCTGTGCCGCTGTGTTGGCAAGGTCTGCATGGTCGACGTCATCTGCTATCTCTGTAAAGATGACAACTTGGTGTCTCCATCTGCTGCTCTCAAGGCACCTGTCTCTGCAATATTGTGTAAGATTCCTGGCCAAGTGATGCATGTGGAACCCTCTTGCAGGTATTGAAAACCAAACCCTTGTCTTGAAAGTTCTTATTTTTCTCAATTTTTTTGGGTTTAATCTTTATTTTTGATGAAATTGGTGGTACCTGGGTTTTCTTAATTTTTTAACTTCTGTTGAGTTTTCATTTAGTCCAGAATGTCACAAGTTTGTGTAAGATTTGTTTCTTTTGTCTCCAATCTCATTCTCTTAAATTACAGCCAAATTTTGGTTAAAATTCCAACTGATATGTACTAGATTTTTCCCATCAACAGTCTTCTGAATTTTTTTAAAAAGTTCCTAAATCAGACCAATTTCTCATCTGAATTTTTTTTTTGGTGTCAATTGGAGACCAACTCAGCCAAAGACCAAAGCTTTTTAATTTAACTCTGTTTCACACAAACCCATACTAACTCTCAATCTGTGTTCTGTGTCTTTTAGCCTACTAGCAGCCATTGATCTGATCCTTCAGGGAGTCCAGAACTTGGTGGTACCAATAAGAACCAGGTTAAGCAGCAGTTCAAGAAGAAAACAACACCCAAAATGCACCACCACCACCTTCCACAATGGCCAAGAGTTCTGCTGGCTGACACAAGAAGATGTAGTCAGATTTCTCCTCAGCTCAATTGGCCTCTTCTCTCCCATCCCAGCTTTCTCCATAGACTCTCTTGGCATTATCAGCACTGACATCTTAGCCATCAACTACCACTCCTCAGCAAACTCAGCCCTGCAGCTCATATCCCAATCACTTTCTCAGCAGACCTCTGTGGCTGTGGTAGACTCTGAGGGGGTCTTGATTGGTGAGATCTCACCTTTCACCCTTGCCTGCTGTGATGAGTCAGTGGCTGCAGCCATCACCACTCTCTCAGCTGGAGACCTCATGTCCTACATTGATTGTGGTGGACCCCCTGAGCACTTGGTCAGGGTTGTGATGGAGAGATTGAAGGAGAGAAAGCTACAAGGGGTGTTGGAAAATTACACATTAACTTCATCAAGTTCTTATGCACATTCCTTGATGTCTTCTTCATCAGATGAAGAGTCTTCTGTGTCTCCAAATACCACTTTGCAGCCAAGGTCTGGTAGATACAGTAGGTCCAGTAGCTACTCAGCTAGAATGGTGAGGAGGGCTGAGGCCATAGTTTGCCATCCCAAGAGCTCATTGGTAGCTGTGATGATTCAAGCAATTGCTCACAGAGTGAACTATGTGTGGGTTATTGAGGATGATTGTAGCTTGGTGGGAATTGTCACTTTTTCTGGCATGTTAAAAGTTTTCAGGGAACACTTGGAGACCATGGCCTAGAAAATGTATTATTAGGAGTTGGGAGTGCAAAAGTTTTGGTTTTTTGATCAGACCTGGGGCTTGGAGAGAATAAAGATGAGAGAAAAAAGAAAAAAGAAAAAAATAATTGAGGTAGTGATGTGAATATGGAGAACCTTGTTCTCACAATTTTCAAGTTGGCTTTGTATGGATCTTGTTATGTGTGGTCTTTTCTTTTACAATTTGATCTTCAAATTGCCTCTTTTGGCACTTCATTATATTTGAGCAGAAAAAAATATCAGGCATAGGCAGATTCTCAATCTTTTTGTCTCTTTGTTTTGTTTTGAAAGTGGTGTTTGCCATGAAGTTCACGATTCTGTTAAGATGATTATGTCATGCATCAAGGTTTGGATATTTGGGATGTGTGTAAAAAAAATCCAGAAAGTTTGACACATAAGTTTTCAAAGAAATATATATATATTGGCGGATGACAGGATTTGTCAAACTACTAAGATGACAGCTCATGGCAGCACTGCACTCTAGAACATGCTAATAGCTTTTTGTTTATGTTTTTTATTATTTATTGTCACCAAACTAAATACTATTTATCTATTCATGCACATGTGTACTATGCACATAAGAAAATATCTAAAGCGGCCCTGGCCAGTTCGGTTTTGTTTTTTTTATGGACCAAAATGAAACTTTTCGAATTGGCAGAAAGCTGGTTTGGTTGGGAAATCAAACCAAACACACATATATAAATCAATCTTGTTTTCCTTGGATCTTAATTATTTTCCTTTTTATCCACATCAACATATCAAAGGAGACCCAAAACTGGTTAATGCTTATACCCCAGCCACATATTCTAATATCATGTAATCCACCAATCTTTCTGATCATGTCGGCTATTTGGTTGGTAGTTGGTACGGTAGGCTTCACTAATGTGTACCCCTCTCCCACTGTCCAGCAAAATACTAGTCAATTCACATCTTTTAAGCCCTTTTATTACAGCTGTTTTAAAAGGATGAGTTTAAATATGATTTTATGTCCAAAACCAGTTGAAGTTGAAGGTAGGTTAGTCAAAATTTTGGTAAATATCATTCATGTAGCAAGCTCACTAGCTGGAGAAAGACTTTCATAAAACGGGAATATCACTATTTTGCTATCTCTGATCAATAACGTTATGACATGTGTGTTAACACTTCCACATGTCATAATATTATTGGCTGGCAATAGCAAAACATTGCTATCCAAGTTTTTCTTCATTAGCTGAGGGTCTGGTCTGGTAGGGGAGACTGGTGGTTCCAAAAGAAATGTTAAAAACAAAAAGCAGATGGATACCTATTATTTCCTGTAAAGTGTAAAAGTGTAAAAGTGTAAAGCGCATTGCAACCAAAAAAAAAAAACTAAAGAAACAAAGGGCAAAAGAACAAAAGAGTAGCTAAAAATGGCCCATGAAAGAGTAAGATTTGGAAACAAACTTGGCATCCAATCCAAAGTCATCCTTTAAAACTCAGATTAGTTGTTATTAGTATAAAACTGTTCAGGTAGTGGTATGTGGCAGCAGTTGAGGGCTAGTTCTTTTACAAACAGTTGTGGATTGTTGGCTAAAAGGCTTTCCATTCTCTTTGGAAAGCATGGAACTAACCAAGGAGCTAAACTGCTATTTTGTTTCTTTATCCAGGAACTAGGAACATACTTACTTTCTGACCATTAGATGGATGCTCTTTACTGGACAACCCGTCTTCCATTTAGGTATTTTGATTGGGAAAAGGGATGTGCCAGCATGATCAAATATAAATTACATTTACATGTATAGTTGAAACAGATAGAAGTGGGCTTTTTATGATTGGAAATAAAATATAGCTGGTTTTACACCAGTCATTCCTCTTCCAACTTCTAGCTACCCCATAGCCTATTTACATTTACACCTCATAGCTCATATTGATTTTGTAGCAAGAGGAACACAGGGGCACACATTGATTTTGATGGGTTGGCTCATTTCATTCTGCTGCAACATCCCATTAGAGAGAGAGAGAGAGAGAGAGAGAGAGAGAGAGAGAGAGAGAGAGAGAGAGAGAGTAACTGGTTTTAAATTAAACTCCAACATAAAAGATCAGAAAAGTTCATAATGGAAAGGCTAAATTCTGCAGGCATGACTGGTGAAGTAGGGTTTGATCTAAGGCTGGCAGATAGGTGCTGTCTTATGGTACAGAAATAAATTATAAAAATGACCGTTAACTGTATGCCTCCTTTCTGGTTTAAATTTAAAATCCCAAAAGATGACCCTTGAAAGAAAGTCCCATCATATCATGTTATGTTACCTACAAGGCTGCAAGGGATTAAAGACTACGTTTTCCATGTCTGCTACAAGATGGCAAACCTTGTGGTACACGCCTAATATGGTATAAAGCTAGTTTTCCATGGGACATGGGAGATTAGCTGGCAAATGTGGGAAGGATAAAAAAAAATGGTGCTAATAACAGTCGTCAAGTCGTCCAGCCATTGATGCGTTGTGAGATTCACTTGCATCAATATGACTGACAACCATTGAGGCACATGTGAATGACTTCCATAGCATTACTCTACCCAAAAATGTCACCAACAATACCTTGACAGATGTCCTTGTAATTTGAGTACATAACTTCCCATGTGTATATCAAATCAGCCCTCATCTATTGAAAGATATAAACTCAAGGCATTGACAAGGAGTAGCATAAGAAGTAGACAGCATTTGAAAGAAGAATCATTGGTAGGCACTTAAAAATGAAACAAAGTTACAATGCAGTCATAGCTAGACTCTTCGTACGCAATCTAATTTCCCACAAGTATCACAAAAATGGATAAACACAACAACATAGTTTTTCAAACCACAAAAAAAAAAAAACAATTAAAGTTTTACGCATAATCCATCTTAATCTCACTTATACAGAAGCTATTTACCCTATAGTTACACAGTTACAATTTCGTGAAATTCCCTAAAAATTATGGTGGAAAGTCTAATGGTGTTCACTTTGGACATAAAATCATACAACTAAGTGAAGCCAATGGTATCTCTCCGAGGTCAGACGCATTCTGGAACAATATCCACGTCATCAGCCATTTCTTGTATAAATATTTCAGTTGGTTCAAGGCATCCTCTTAAAGTGTCGTGCCCGAGTTGCGCCCTTTCATTATCTCCGAATCCAAAGAGTTTTCCACGGTTAGTGACAACAACAGTATGGTACAGCCCAGTGCTAATCTGAGAAACATGATGAGCTCTTAAGCTATCAAGGATTCTAGGGCTCAAGATTTTATCTGATACTCTCCTGTCTGGAAATCCAAGGCTGCCAAACCCCATCCAACCACAACCATATACTGAACCATTGTCACCAAGAACAAAGGTCTTCCGCTTTCTAGCACACACCTACAGAATACAATAACTGTTAAAGCACACCTATGGATTAGAATGACAGGTTCCCCGTGAACTGGGAAAAACAAAAGAGAGAGATGCACAGATTTGATTCTTTTCAACAGGTATGCAAGTTTTGCAACACCAAAAGTTGTCCTTGCTTTGGACTATTGCATCTATTCTTAACAATTCAGGGCAACCTTGAAGAACAATTGACACAAAATAACAACTTTATCAGAAATGATCAAAAGAATGAACAAACCAAACCTGTACGGCGAGGTGGCTTTCAAGCTTGTTCAAGAGTTCTGGGGTAGTCTTGTCAATCTCATCCCCATGGCCTAATGCACCACAGTAGCCTTTACCCCAAGTATATACCTGCAATTGCCATACTGAAAGTTAGAACCGTTTTGGTCAGAACTCAAATACATGCCAAGCATAAACAATAAAATATAGAAACTTCATCTTTGGTTTGGAGACTAACATATCCACTGGAATCAAGTGCCACGGCATGCTCGTCACCTGCAGAGACACGAACAACATGAATACCCTTTCTTTTAAATGTTTGGATTGCGCGTGGCTGGAACTCATCATGCTGCTCTCCATGGCCAAGACAGAAGTTAGAACCCGACCCAAAAGAGTAGACTACTCCATTGTCAGCTACAGCTAAAACATAACTCGGGCCAGCAGCAATTTGAACTACATAGCCAATTCCCTCGGGAAGTTCAATCATTTTTGGAGCCGGGCTATCTATGGTGTCTCCATGACCAAGTTGGCCATGTGTGTTGGCCCCACATGTATAAACATGACCTTGTCTTGTAAGGAACACGGTAAAATTAAGCCCTGTAGCAACCTGAAACAAGTTCTTTAATGTTTAATTGCATGTTGTAGGAAGAGGAAAGGAAAAAGGGAATTAGATCGAATGAAGTTCCAACAGATAATTTATAAAGATATAGTGATATGAATAGAAATCAGAAGTCAAAAAAAACATAGCACCTTACAATGGCAATGAAGCATAAATCCATTTCTAACAATGGATAACGGGAACTTGGGCCCTTCCTATCTATAATTTTTCAGGATGAAATAGATAGATGTATAATTGGACGTATGGTCAGAATCAAACCTCTAAGATTAAGCGTACATTACAAATCAAAGTATTTAGCTTCGAACACCAGAAACAGGTTCCAAGAAGCTTCCCTTTTTTGTTTCTTGAGAAAAAAAGGTATCCAACAACTAGATATAAATCCTTGAGTTAATAATGTTAGAAATTATAGTGCAACATTACTAATTAAAAGAAGAACAAAAATAGAAACTGTAGTGCAACAAATTGTAGCCTTTGAACAGAGATATTGCATCCATAACGCTAGAACATGCTCAATTTTCCAATAATCTAACGATTTCCTGCTATTGACAGCAATGAAGGCCAAAAAAATCCACAATAATCTCTCCACTAGAAAGGGATCTAGATCATTTACCCAGAAGGTTATATAATATCCATCAACGCTCATGCTTGTTCATCCATTTTGAAAAACCAATTGTCATTTATGTTGTGACAATGTGGACAAGAATGTACCTGCTTGCAAGGAAGTCCCTTCAATGCCTCAACAAGCCTAGGCCTAAAAATTGGTCGGTTCGTATCTTTATGTCCACAACAAAATGATGAATTATCCCCACATGTGAAAACCTGTATCAGTAACCGGGATGGCATCATTAAACTATGGCAAGCGATGTATCAAAGTTGATCTCACAAATATAATATGTCAGGGTCTACACATAGCAGGACAATCATGCACAAATATCTAAAAGTAAGAAACCAGCAGAATTCCAATCTTAAGTGGAACTATTGAGCTCCAAATGATGGAAAAGTATTTCTTATGTATTCACATCTAAGATACAACAGCTTCTATGTAAAGGAACAGTCACTACTATGGCCTTCTTTGACATGTCAGTTACCAATAACAGTGTTTAAACCCTTTTCACTTAGTTTCATATCCTCATGGGACCCTAACATCCTTTCATCATTCAATGCCAAGAGCAACCTCCTCACTACTATTAGTATCATTAGTATTATTTCAGTTCAGAAGAAGGTAAAACGTGATGAGAACAAGCAGGGACTAACCTCTCCAGATTGCATAACAAAAGCAGCATGGTTATGGGAGGCTGACACTTGGACTACTTGTGCTGGAGATGGAAAATTAATCCGGGTAAATGTTACACATTGCTTAGTCCCAAGACCATGACCAAGAACACCACACAAGCTGGAACCACATGAGTATAATGATGAATTGCTGATTAGCAATGTGTGATACCTTCCAGTTGTAATTTGCATCTGCTGATAAAAACAATCTTAACATTTTATCCAGCATCTATAAAACGGACCAGAAAACTATGCAAAATAATAATAATAATAAAAATAACAAGCAGTGTAATATTATCAACATGAACCAACAGGTCAATTATCTAACAAACAATATTTAGATCTTTCTTTTTTTAGTAGATGAACTAAATTATGTCATTTTCTGCTGAGTCTTCAAAATTGTCAAGCAACGGTAAGCAATCCTCCAGCTAATTTTAAAATGTATATCTCATTTCTCAATTTCCTTTTAGTTATTGCATGCCAACTAATCTCAATGTAAGAATTTGGAGAATCTAAATAAATAGGGGATTAAGTTACCAAGAACAAAGTCATTTCATGCAAAAAGGGTAACTGATGATTGACTTAATTAGCAAACTCCACAAAAATATATTATCAAGCACATTGGTGTTCGTTCGCTTAACCAGTATTCCAGATTGCAGATAAAGTTCATTCATTTATAAGCAACTGCAAATAATAATGAAATAGTACATTGCCTGCTGAGGTCTCGTTCGCTTAACCAGTATTCCAGATTGCAGATAAAGTTCATTCATTTATAAGCAACTGCAAATAATAATGAAATAGTACATTGCCTGCTGAGGTCTCGACCATGTCAGATGATTGCTCCACCGATTGCAAGAACCTCAAAACCCGCTTCCATTTCCCACCACACCGATCAAATAGCCCCCTCTGAGCATTCCTTTCCATTTTACCATAAACAGAATGGGACACACATAGCTGATACGCCGCATAGTCCACCAGTGACCGAAACTTGTGAGGGTACAACCCATGACTCCCTCCAAATGTCCTAGAAGTTAACTCTAAATGTAGAAGATCAATGGCACTGAGCTTTCCCGAGCTCAAGATTTCTAAAACTAAATGTGATGGCAAGTCCTCTATTGACACCGGCCTATATCTTTCAGCCGCCATTATAAACAAATTTTCAATCCTTTAAATCCACCACAAAATACCAAATTGAGCTTCAGTATGATAAGTGTCAAAGTTTTAGGCGAAATCGGAGACAATTGAAGCAACAGATAAAGAAAAAATCCAAAGGGAGAAAAATGTAGCAAATGGAGTACAGGAAGGGGGGCTTAGATGAATAATTCACAGGTTTTTGATGCAGTGATTGGAAATAAAACATCAGATGGTCAAATATCACAAATAACCCCTTTTCCACGTTATCGTGAACTCGATGGAAATGAGAGCTTTACCTGCAAATTATTGAGTAAAACCCAATCAACGAACAGGAATTTAAATTACAACAGCAAAAAATTGAAAGCGACAATCTCTCAAAAATGATGGCAATTGAATGAAACGAAGGATTTAATTAGAGAGAGGAGCAGAAAGGAAATTCATAATTTACCAGGAAGAGAAAAAAAGTGGGAATTTTGAGTCTTTTGGGTGGCGATCTCTGTCTTGTTTGTCCGAATAATTTAGAAAATTCAAGCTCTGAGCTTCTGAATAAAGTTGGGGTTTCCACTTTCCAATTGGGGAAGAGAGAGAGAGAGAGAGAAGCACAAAATAAAAAAGTTAGGTTGGTAGGGCTGAGAGCTCTGTTTATGGAGAATAGGTTAGGCTGTATGAGATTCGGGTATGGTTTCACTTTATAAAGGGAATGAAGAAATTAATTATAAAAAAATTCATTTGGTTTTGATTGAGGGCAGAGAGAATGAGTCTTGTCTGTCTGACTCTGAGAGAATGAAATGATAATAAAAATGGAAGCAGAGCTTCAGCAAAGCAGCACAGAAAATAGGGAAGGAGAAAGACGAAGTGGTAGCTCTGCTGGCGCATGGTGATTGGTTTGCTGTCGACTCTACTGTCGCGCATTCGCTTACACGTGGAAGGAGCTGATGATTCCAACTTCCAACCTTCCAAGTCACGCGCCCTTTCAGGCATATAACTGTCAAGTTGTTGTGTTTCCATTTCTTTGGTTTTCCTTTTTCTTTCCAAGATGACTTTCTTCACGGTGTGTTTGACTCATGAGAAAATGATTCCCTAGCACATGGAAAACAGAATTAGGAGTTCGGTAAGATCCAATCCTCAAGTCTTCAATTTACAAACCCGAATCTTGTATCCATAATTTGGGTCGGTTCACAAACACGAGTCTCATATCTATGATTTGGAATTTTAAATTTCGACGTTTTCATTTAAATCTTAAGTGTGAAGTTGATGAAATTTCAAAATTTTACTCTCAAAGAGGTTCGAGGTTCCAAACCAGAAAGGTTCGAGGGTTAGGGTATGCATATTTGAAGCTTAAACCTAAAAATTTCACCCTATGCAATTATTCATGCTTAATATGACCTTAGCAATGCCAAACGGGTTGATCAACTTACCAAACCCATTGACACCATACGGGTTTGATGTAAAAGGATCTCTTAGTATATTCACTTGATTGACACCATTTACCAAACCCATATTTGACAACATGTGGTCCAAAGAGAAAGAATTCAAAATTACGAAGGCAGTTTTGAATTCTTTTGTGGCGAAAGGGATTAGTCACTGCTGTCGGCGGTGGATACCCTTGGGTCTCACCTAAAAAATTACGAAGGCAGAACAAACCACCTTAAAGGCTTCATGGAAACCAGGTAATACACAAAAGAAAGATAAATAATTTTATATTTTGAAGGCCAGCAAATGTGATGGCTTGGTCAAGCCTTAACGAATAAGTTTCTTTTTCATTTTCTGAAACTAAAACGCACATGGCTCAAATTTACAAAAAGCTCATGGTGCCAACTAATTCGAAAGGAAAATAAAAAAGTCTTATCAGAAAGAGGCTCTACAACAACATTCAGCTTTTAGCTTAGCATGCAAGTTATCCTTGTTTATACGACGCAAGCTTAGGGTTGACTATGGATTCTCATGTTGGTCATTCCCCATTGAATGCACTGTATGTTGCACCTGATCCCTGGACAACTCGAACAACCAAATATTTGAGTTTTCGTTTCAAAAATCAGATTTGAAAACACAAGATGTATAATTCAAGGATTTTATAACCAAAAATACAAAAAGAAACTTATAAACATTACTTACGGAGTCTGTTTAGATGCATCATCAGAGTCAACATTGGGTGCCAATCTAAACTTTATAATCCGGTGCAGGCTCGTAACTGGTTTTACTTGCTTGCTTTGAGGTTGGTTTGGATCCACTATGCATTTGCCAGCAAAAAGGTTTGCTTCTGATGGTCCCGTTTCTTCATGAACCACAGGGCTAGCAACTGCAAATAGAGATACATCTCTTTAGAATAAAAAATTATACTAACGCAGGTGGATACAAGTAGTAAAGAACGGGTTCTGACTGGTATTTGACTATCATAACCACCTTGTGCATCAGCAGGACCATTTTTTAACAGCTCCATTGAGAAGTAAAGTGGTATAACCTCTAAATCAAAAATCAAGATCACCTCTCAATATCTATTCTAGTTACTCCATTCTTATCAAAGAATGGTGAACTTAATCAGTATATTCACATCATAAAGCAAACAGGTGACCAGAAATTCTTTGCCCCTCAAATGAAAGCATCTGATCCTGGTAACAGAATTTGAGGGACATTTACTCCTGCTTATGTAGAAAAAAAAACTCCTACAAGGCATTGTTAGGATAACATGAAAAGACAACCTGAATTCCCCGTCGCAGTAGGAGAAATAAATAGTAAAAAACAGAGAAGAAAAAGGAAGGGATAAAGGATCTATTTCCAAAAACTCTAGATCCAGAATTATAAAGTTCAGTGCATGTATAGAAAACAGTTTTCCAGGCATAGTTTCTTACAGGTATTTCTGAGTGGGATAAAAATGTGATTTACCTTCTTCTTTAAAAATAAGGCATGTCCCAACCGTTTCGTGGTATTCTCCAATCTGTAGGGCAACAAGAATTAGTAAACGGAAATCATGTCACCCAAACTTCGACCTCCAAGCCATTCCAGTGACACATAATTTTCCCAAGTTCTTCTAAGTATGACATTCTAATTACCAATAAAAAATAATGAAACAACTCACAAGGCTCAACAGAGAAAATCAAAGGGAGAATTGTAACAATTAAGGAATAAATGTAAAAAAACTACTATCCAACTGCCACAGATGTCTAAACTTTTTTCTAACCAATCCGCATTGCAGACACAGCTTTTGAAACTCCCCTTCCCCCCAACCACCCCCCACCGCGGGCGCCAAACCCTACAATCTTTGGGAGACAGGAAACACTAGCAAATAGGTAGGTAGGTACCTTTGGGGGTTTCGAACCTTAGACCACATGGGACCAAACCATGGGACCGACCGTTCCATGGGCGCCCCCGTTGGTGCCACGGATGTCTAAACTGAAAATGAATTATATACATCTCGTCAACAGAAATAGACATCACATCCTCAACTTGATTTTAACCAGCGAGCGATATCATGACATTAAATGAACGAAATAGCCAACAGTTGTAATACTTTCAATTTGTTCAATATAAACAAATATGATCTGATGGATGACCCTTCTGATAAATACATTGGTTGTCACCTCACTTCTCACTGAAAACCAGTTCATTTTTTCCACAAAAAAAAAAAATTCATGTTCATCAACATATCAATTTCCATAATACCCCCAACCCCAGGAAAAAAGGAAGAGCAAGAGAGCGAGAGAGACGGAGACAGAGACAGAGACATCTAATAAAAACAAATATTTGGTCCACCAAGAAATGATAAATAACCAATTCAAAGGCTACATCCCTCTGCTTGTGCATAGCAATCACATTCTAATTTATAACTTTCCTTGGTAGTTCTTCAAACACGGGTTAGTATCTACATAAAATACTCTACTAACTAGATGTTAGCCAAAACCACTCCAAGGGAAATTAAATTAGACAAAATCTTCTGTACAGAACCATCAGTTATAAACACATACAATGCCAGGAAAGTACTAGGCAGGAGCAACAGTACACAGATCGGAGTTAAAACATTATATTGCCACCCAAGACATACAATGTTACATAAACCAGCATAAGTGAAAATGACAAAACGTATGCTGCAAAAACATGAACTAATTTCATAGCCTCAGTGTCCTAACAAGTTCAAGATTGGGTCAGATAAAAAAAAATGTTTTGACAGCATAGAAGCATAATATTTCTTTAACAAATGAACAAAGCTGAGAGAGTGCAGGGTTATTCTTTTTCAGCAACGAAACACACAGAGTCTGAGTCTGTGGATGTGTTGCAAATACTATTACATTCAACTTACAGGACCCGAATTTTCTCCCATTTTCTAGTTTTGGATACATTAACAAGTTAAAATCAGCAAAGAATCATAGACTAGACTACAAATCATCGTGATAAAAGTAAATACAGGATTTTGATATTTCAGGATATAAACTCACCAAGTTCAATTTGTCACCTATAGTCAATACAGGATGCTCTGTGTTCAAACCCTGCAAATCAATACATTTTAATATTAAAGTAGCATAACAAAGAGTTATAAATAGCTGAAAATATAAAAAAAAGGATAAATTGAGAATGGAAAAACATACGGAAAGAACATAGGGTGCGTTTGGTAAAATGTCAAACTGCGAGTAAGCAGAATCAAGATCGAGCAATACATATTCTTCTTCAACCTCATCTTCATTGCGCACAGTATTTCCCTCCATGGCCTGATGTATATATATAAAACAATAAGCTCATATATTTAAGGCATATGTATTAAACAAATAGAATGTGAAATTAATTCAGGATATAAAAATTGGGAAATTCAAGTAAAATATAAGCCCTAACAGCGCAGATAGAGGGGATAATCTCACCCTGTATCCAGTGGCGGACCCACAGAGGCACAAGGAGGCGCAAGTGCACCTCCCCTCGTCGGAAAAATCTTTGGAGGTGCCGGAGTTGCCCCTCTGCTCTGGTGCCCACCAACTGCTCGAGCAAATGCGTGAACAATATTCTTCTTTCGCTGGCTGTGTTGCTGAGCTGCTGGGTTGCGCGCAGCGCCTTATTTTTTTTAAAAAGTCCTGGCCAAAACGACGTCGTTTTGGGCCAGGCGAAAAAAAAAAAACGAAAAAAGGAAAAAAAGTAACCTGCAAACTGCCGACACGGAACGGAAGCCTCCCAATCCAATTTGAAGAAGCCGTGCAAGGTGATATTATCACTGACATGCAGCAAATCCCAATTTGTTTTTAATCATGCAAGATACCCCATCCCAATTTGGTTGTCAAAATTTTTAAATTTTTTTAGTCTTTCAAAATTACACCTCCGCCGAAAAATTCATTGGTCCGCCAGTGCCTGTATCAGTGAGGTAAGTGTTGAAGAAGCTCTGCTAACGCACCTGCATCAGTGTGGGAAGTGTTGAAGAAGAAGCGATGAAACGCACCGTTTTGAGCTGCGCGGAATGCGAACCGCGAAGTTTGTGAAGGATGGGATGCCGAATGATACTGGAGTGTTACTTGCGAGCCCAAAACAGAATGGGCCGTTTTTAAAACAGTCTAACGGGATTTTGTATTCACCACCCAACATTTTGATCGGTGCACCCAACACACCGAAGGTATATCCCAAGTTTCAAATTTCACCCTGGGTGCGCTAAGTACGAAAAAAAAATTTAAAACTTTGTAAGATAAAAAATACCTAGGGCGAGCTTAGCCTCACGTGACCACCCCCCCCCCCCCCCGTTCCCTTGTTTACTTTTTAATCTTATCACAGTGCTCATGGATAAGGCTTGAAATTGTTGAGTACATATGAAACCTTAAGATTCTTACCAACAAATAGAAAGAAAATTAAAACTCAACCCCAAAGGGTTACAAGCGATATTAGAAATGAGGATTCACGAGTATTGGGTGTAGAGATAAACCACTCCGAACAACTTTAGCTACAAATCTTTTGCTTGTATATTAATTTTTAAGTTCATAATGAGTAAAAACATTTTTCTTCATGAAATTAAATCATTTTGTTATAGATGATATTTAATCTTTTATACTTGTGTACGTATTATAACCTCTAACCAATTAATTCATTTGTTACTAAAAAAATAATAATAATTATAATAATTTGTTACACATACAACCAAAATGACCCTTAAGAGTCCTGCAACAAGCCACGCGTTTTGGCGCGCGTATGCACGGTTAATCCCGTACGGCGCGCATATGCAGTGCACACACACAGCCACTACAGCGACTTCTGACTCTTTTACTGGAAAAAGAAAAAGGAAAATTTACTGCGTTAACCATTTTCGGAATAGTTACACCCACCCAGTACAGTACAATAACCACTAAACTTGCTGAGGAAGCCATTCTAGCCCCTGTTTGTTTCCCGAGAAAAGTTAAAGAAAATTCGAGTCTCTCAATCAGTAGCATTTTTTCACCATAACATCAACACGAATATTGGAGGTTAACAGAGAATCACGAGAGAGCTAAAGCAAAGGAAAGAAACAAATAGTATCCATGATATCAGATTAACAACTACTCAGTGATATTAGAAATTCGCTACGTACAACAACGTACATTTTGGAGGAAATTAAAGCAAACAACAACGATATTGATTAGATTCAAAGTCACAGATACTAGTAACTTCACTACAAATTGAAAACACGAAATCAACATAGTACGTACGTACGGTCAGAGACTCAGACTTCATAGCTAGGCAAGGCAAGCTTAATTCTTCTTCTTCTTCTTCTTCACCTTCTTTTCGCTTGCAGCACCGTCAATGGCGTCGATCAACTCCAAACCGATCAGGAAGCACAGATAGGGATCAATGGCCCAGAATAACTTCAGCTCGTCGCACCGGGTCAGACGATAGAACTCATCGTCCCTACGTTTCCAGTAGAAATCGTCCTCAGGCCTAGCCAAGTCCATTTGCTTCCCGAGCACGGCCCTCGCGAGCTGATCCAGATCGTACCGGCCGAGATCCAGGTCGTCCCTCCTTAGCCCCCTGATAGCGAGATCGTTGACGTCGACTGCGTTCCGGATCTCGATGCCGTGGTGAACCTTGAGCTTCCTGGAGAGATTGGCCATGTCGCGGCCGATGACGAAAACCCTAGGGTTTTCGAGGAAGGAGACGAGCGAGTGTCTGGCTCTGAAATATGTCTCCCACGTCTCGTAGACGAGGGATTGTGCCCCGATGTTGAGGCAGAGAAAGTCGTACGGATACTCCTTGTGCCTGTCCTTTTCTTTCCAGCACCACCTGTCCTCGGTCTCGGCCGTGATGCCGACGAGAACGGCAGATTTGATGGAGGACTTGAGGGCGTCCTTGAGCCATTTGGTGACGATGGACTCGGAGTGGGTAACGACGGTCAGGATGCGCTGGGTGTCCACGTGGACGGTGTAGGCGTCCGTTTTGGGGTCTTCGATGGTGAGGTCGCGCTCGACGGAGATTTCAAGCACCATTGTTGTGGCTCTCTCACTCTCCCTTCTCTCCTTTCTCTTTCTTCTCCCTCACACTATCTCAGTTTTTTGTTGCAGAGAAAATATCTTGGTGACCTCGGTCCATCGATGGGACTTTATATAGAGGAAGCCCACTGGAAGTTACTGTGTTACGCATTTACTTTACTTTTTCAATTTCTTGACAGTAAAAATTTACAGATCAATCTTCAGGTTCCAACTTAAAATTTTCCAACTGTTTCTTGAGAAAAATTATATGCTAATCACACATTCTTTCCACTAGATTTTTCTTTTTCTACATTAACCAAATTATATTACTAGACATGTTTTATGAAGATTACTCTTCCTTTGGGCATAATTAAAACTAATTAATGATAGGAGTTCCAAATTAGGTTAGTGATTTAAACACTCCCTTTTTAACCTCGTGTACTTTTCTTATGAGTGCTATAAAATATTCACTTTAGAGTGCAAATCACTGAAACTGAATGCTGAGTGCTGGAATTGCTACTTCAATTAGAGGAATTTGATCAATGCATTCAACATCAAAAACAATTTTTGAGCTTTTTACTCTTGGGTGTGCGTGTGAGAAACCCCCCCTTCATCGCTTATATTAAAAAAAATCTTCATATTTTATTTGAACAACAGGGGAGGGGGATTCCAATTTGGAACCTCTTCTAATATTGGAAAAAAATAAAAATAAAAAAAGTACCACTACATCTAAAACTAGTTCATTTCAATTTAAAGAGCTATTATTTGTGTCCTATGTGATAAAGTTGGAATTTTTGTATTATTTTGGGTATTGAGCACTTTTCAAATTTTTAGGTACCCACAAAATCAAACATTTCATTATCAGACGCATATTATTGATTTTGATTTGATGAACTTTAGACGTACGAGTAGTATCTGTCAGATAAGAGAAACTCTCATGTAATAGGAATAGCTCTTTTTGCTATCCCCGGCTAATAACGTAGTTACGCATATGATAACTTTTCCACGTGTCATTGTGTTATTGACCTGAGATAACAAAACAGTGTTATCCCTGTTATAGGATAGGTAAGTTTTTTTCCTCTCGGACATATGGCTCTTGTGTGACGTGTCATTGGCATGATATCACAAATGTTAGTGAGACAACCGTTTTTTGTCCAGAAGGGCCCATTTTCTATTCAAAACGAACATCTCTTTTTCTTTTTTCTTTTGTTGGAAAGGCTAACTGCTCTGGGATGTTGACACAGTCTGCCTAAATTCCAAGTAAGAACAAATAGAAATCCCATTTGAAATTCATAGTATTTCTTGGTCAAATGAAATAATAATATCATGTTTTTTAAAATGTAATTAAATGGACTATATTCAACTTAAATTCCATCTCATACTTTCTCAACACCCAAAAAAAAAAAAAAAAAACCATCTTATATCCTTATCTTTTTATACCGGGCATATCCTCTAACCAATGAATGGAACGAGACTAACCAAACCAACCACGCACGCATCAACCAAAACGAAGTCGTGGAACAAGCCACGCGTTTTGGCGCGTAGCATGTAAAGCATAGTGCATACCCACGTCTCGCTGCAAATGAACTGCAGAGACTACTGACTCTTTCACCAGTAAAGGAAAAAGGTAAAAAATTACAGCAGCAATCATTTTGGCAAAAATTACAGCAGCAATCATTTTGGCAAAAATTACAGCTATGCAGAGTACTATAAGTCTATAACCACTAAACTTGCTGAGGAAGCAATTCTAGGCCCCTGTTTGTTTCCCCAGAAAACTCGAGAAAAATCAAAGAAAATCCAAGTCTCTGAATACCTCTTCACAAAAAAACACAACAAAGAACAACAACATGAAAATATTACTTATATGTGAGAAATATCCGAATATCACAACAAAACACAGATTCAAAGAACAACAACATTGAACAGGCATATTGATGAGCACTACAGCGACTCTTAAGCTACATATTTTTGGGGGAAATCACAGCTAATCAGTAACAACAACATTGAGATTCAGAGTGATTAACTGGCATTTAGGAACCCTAATCCACTACTAAAATTATTAGCTAAACACAAAACAACAGACCATGAAATCAACAGAGGGATAATAGTATGTACGTTGTACAGAGAGAGATGCTCAGATCAGTGGCTCTCCATCGCTCATAGCTAGATAACCATTCTAGCTACTTGTTCTTCTTCTTCTTCTTAGGGCCAGCAACACTGTCAATGGCGTCGATCAACTCCAATCTGATCCAAGGATTGAAATATCGGCCGATACGGTATTTTCAATTGTCGACACCGATACTGGGTTATGTCATGTCTGATTATAATGGAACTAGTTATGGAGCTCAAGATGGTGAAATAAATTATGGACATACTAGTTGGGTTAATCCTAACTATCCCATATATGGGAGGATAGTAGGGAGCTCAAGAGAGACCTATGTGCACTATGTTCAAACATGGCTTACAAACTGCTCGGGTTACATGACTTGGTATGACTATTGTATGAATCTAGATGGTTGTTCCTCATTGGTTGAATCTCATAGGAGCTCTTCATTTATGTAGATGGACACTTATCTAAATTGTAATCCAATGTTTAAACAAACTATGGATTTATGCATGGTTTATTCATTCTAATCAACATTTTATTTTCAAACTTTTCATTCATGCGCATTACATACTACTTATATTTCATCACATGTATATCTTATTATTAGTAAATTTTGAGTTTTATTTGTTCAATACATTCATTGATAATGTACATAACATCTATGAAAGTTTTACACTAAAATTATGTGTTTCAATGTCTATATCTGTCATTTTTGTTGATTTTTTCCCGATACCTAAAACGATAACGATATATCCCTTGAAATATAAGTAAATCGGAGGCTTTACTATTTTTACTAATTTTTTTAAAAAATAGTATAATTGCATAACGTGGCTCTTAGACTCTGGATATATATAAATAGTATAGCCGCCCGGCTTCACACATATTATCCTCATTTAATTAATAATTTCAATTCTTAATGTTTTCATTAACCAAATATATTTTCTGGTATTTTGAATGTTTTATCATTCTCTGCCTTTTGCTTTATATATATAGATGCACTGGGAAATAAACTTGGCATTTGTGTATGATTTTGGGTATTGGGGCACACATTAAATTTGCAATCCACCAAATCCAGCATTTCAGTAGCAAACTCGTGTTATTGATTTTGAGGGCATAATGGGTTTCGCATTATTACCAACAATATAGACAGCAAAATTTATATATAAAAAACCTAATTCGGAATCCAAAGCTATCCGGTTACATTCTAAAATCGTTCATCGACTATTATATGCTCATGGCAGACTAAAAATATCAAACAATAATTCGCTTTATGGTACGATAGAATGTAATAGAGACCTTGCTTGCTTCTCGTCCATGATTCAAAGACTAAGGCTTACCCATTTGAAAATTATATCACATTATGTGGTGTGGTGGTAGCTCACCTCATTCCTTAATCATGAGGTTGGGGGTTCGATCCCCGCCCATGGGAATGGAGCGCATTACATGGCCAGCCGTTTACCTCCATTGGGAGAGCTCCCGCGGCGAAATGGATTAGTCACTACTGTCGGCGGTGGATACCCTTGGGTCTCACCTAAAAAAAAAAAGAAGTTAAAAGCCTTTTTATTATGTTATAAATGAGCTTTGGGTGTATTTCTAAATCAATTAACGTGTCGTTCATAGCCAGGAGTCGTGCAACTAGTCGCGCACTTTGCCGCGTATGTTCCTCAAATCCCGTACGGCGAGCATGCAGCGTACAACGACTAGTACCGGAAAACGAGAGTGAAAGAATTACTACAGCCCACCGTTTTCGGAAAAATTACTGCGAAGAACCAGTACATTACTAAGACTCAAGAGGAAGGAAATTACAAATTCTTATGCA